CCCGTTGTGGGGATTTGAACCGCCGACCTTCTGATCGGCAAGTCCTAGGCTCTGTGGTTTAACCCACAGTGCCACCCATGTCCCTTACAAACAATAAATAACAACATCACAATTACAACATAAATCATATAAAATAATTAACAAATCCTAAGTAAAACAATTTCAAACAATCAGTAAGACAACCACCTTCTATAAAACACAATTTGGATTCTCTCAATTTTTCCAGTATGAAGTTCTCTTCTCCACACTTCCACAACAGTTTGCAAAAAAAAGGGAGGGGGAGCCTCAAAACTTTTCAGCAACATTTTCTCTTAATGTGCACTTTTTTGTATGCAACCATGCCTAATACACGCTTTTTCAAAAAGATATTTCCCTTAATATAATGCATTGGGTACATTATTTTCATTCATATAAAAATTTTAATGTACAGTTTACCTTACCATATGCATTTTATCACATGTTATTACTTTGCTTGTGAACTACACTGCAAAATTTGGAGAGCTGCAGATTTTGGAGAATTGCTGTGTTTTGACTCACATATTGTTTCAGAAAGAGTGAATTAGGCAGATTTCCCTACACTGAGGGCCCCCAGATGTTGCTAGACTTCAACTCCCATCAACCCTGGCTATTGTCTATCATGGCTGGGGCTGATGGAAGTTGGAGTCTAACAGCATCTGGAGGGCTAAGAACAGTCACACTAACTTACAGAATTGTCTGTTGTGACACCCTCCCCCACCGCTGCAAAAACCCGCTCCACCTTTCTTTTTTGGCACTAACTACCTCTGAACATCACAGGTTAATTTTAATGGTTGTTACTCCTCTAAGAACATTGCCATCTGTTCTGGCCTCTGTGTACAAATGCTAATAGAGCACAATGCACAGCTGAACCATTAAAAAAAATCCTGAAACTATACATAATTTAAATGCCTTCACATTCTATGTTCCTTCTATATTTTCATATGCATCTGTTACTTTGCTTTCCCCCTCCCACCTCATATGTCACAACGTAGTTTCTTGAATGTGGCCACTTGCCAGTGCTGATGCAGCCACCAAGGTACAGAGTTGGAAGCTGAGGGAGACAATTTATAGTAGGTATGCATCATAGGATTGCAGGTCCATCATTTAATTCATGAAAGCCCTACAGCTCTGCTTCCCATTAGCTTCACAGGATGCCCCCTCTTTTGGTTTTGCTTTCAGTAGGTTTACCAAGCAGGCAATCTGAGTCAGCAAATCTGGACTGCTTTTAGAGGCATTGTTTACATTCCCCCTGCATCCCTTTCCAGCACATAATCACTCAGAAATTGGTAGTTAGGTCAGTTATGAGATTTTACTGTGCAGCAATAAGGCCAACATCTGCCTTGCATATTTGTGGTTGCCGTCATACTGCATCCAACATCGCTTCCTATTGTTCCAGGAGTTGCTCAGGCATATAATAGGGTTCCAATGAGTTCAAATCTCTTGCGCTAAGGATGGCTTTAGGGAGCTACTTCTCTGCCATATTGTGGATTAGATTTTTCCTGCCAGCAGTTCCACCCAACCCCTGTGCAAAAGCAAAACAAAAAGAAGGTTGGTGAAATGAATGGCAAGTGATCTCGTTTAAGCTAGTGCTCCTATTGTTCCCTGCTTGCAGCATACTAGGTTTGATTTGGTTAATTTTATGGTATGTATGAATTGCTTTCCACACAAAAAAACCCTCCCAAAGCATTCTACAGTCACTAGAATAAAATAGACTAATGCAAAAATATAAACATATTAAAAACATACAAAGAAAACTTCCAGGCATTGGTGCTGCCCAAGTGTCCAGAAAAACAAAGAAGTCTTTGCCTGGTGCTGAAATGATTTGCCAGTGCTGATGGGCCTCCCTGTAGACAGCATTCCATAGACAATAAGTTACTACAAAGAAGGTCTGTTTTTCCATTGCCCTAGATCTACCTTGGACCCAGTAGATGCGGTGAGATGCCAGGAGTATTAAGTATAAAACAATAGTGGAAATGTAGAAGTGGGTCACGTGCTCCTGGTTGGTTGGGACTGGTTGAAGGCTGGTGTAGACAATACCATGCTAAATGGACCAAAGGTCTAGCTCAGTGTAAGTCAACTTCATGTATTTGGAGGAAGAACCACAGCTCAGTGGTGGATCACATGTTTTGCATGAAAAGTGGTTCCAGGCTCAATCTCCAACATCTCCAGGTAAGGATGGGAAACATTCCTGCCTGAAAATCCTGGAGAACTTCTGCCAGTTGGTATAGTATAGTCGGTGTTGAACTAGATGCATCAATGGATCTGAGTCAGTTTAAAGCAGCTTCTTATGTCCATATTTTCCTCTGGCATGTTGTCTGTCTCTATCATCCTCATTTTCAAATAAAGCAAAGAGGAATCTAACCCTTTCCTTCAGGTGAAGGAGGGGTACAGATTGTTTTCCCAGCCCACAGCACATGTGGGCTTCAGTTCCACTCTGCCCTTGGAGAATGCAGGCCAGCAATAAGCAGGTCTGGCTGGCAGATGTCCTTTGAATGGTTTTGCAGCACTTCCTCCCTGCCGGAAAACCTAGGAATGGCCTAGCCAATGGCAAAACTACACAGAGCCTGTAATTCCATTCTCCACAATGTTTTGTTTTGTTATACTCTCTCTCTCTCTCTCTCTCTCTCTCTCTCTCTCTCTGTGTGTGTGTGTGTGTGTGTGACCACTAAATCAGACCCAGGAGATTGCACCTCTGCCTAGATTTTATAAAAGAACCTGACATTTGTCCCTATGGAAATTCATTTTGTAAGTTTGGGCCCAATTCAATCTGTTAAGGTCATTTTGAATCCCATTTCTGTCTTCTGATGCATTAACTACCCCTCCCAGTTTGGTTTCATCTGCAAATTTGATGAGCATCCCCTCAATTCCTTCATCCAAGTCATTTATAAAGAAGGGACTCAGGCATGCCGCCTAACCACCACCTCCCCAACTCACAACACTACATAATATAACAGCAAACAAACCAGTAACACACACACACACCACAGTTTAAGGACCATAGATTGCTTAATTACCCAAAGGCCTGGAAGAAGAGAAATGTTTTTGCCTGGCGGCTAAAGATACGTAATGAAGGTACACTGCAGGTGATAGTTACTATGTGTATGTTGGGTGGTGGTAGTAACAGTGCCGGGGTCTATAATTTCAGTGGTACCCTGTGTGATGCCAAAATTTTACTCCCCCCCTCCCAGCCTCTCGCCATCTATTCTACAGTGGTACCTCAGGATGCCAACGGGATCCGTTCCAGAGCCCCGTTTGCATCCTGAACAGAATGTAAGACGTTTGTGTTTCTCCGCTTCTGCACATGTGTGTGATGTCATTTTGACCATCTGCACATGCGTGAACGGCGAAACCCAGAAGTAACGCACTCCGTTACTTCCGGGTCACCGCGGAGTGCAACCTGAAAGCGCTCAACCTGAAGCATATTTATCCCGAGGTATTTATCAACTGTACATCATAGTTGTGGCACTCCCTGTGGTGCCCCTGAGGCTCTGCACTCAGTGCAACCGAACCAGTTGCTCTCCTCTAAATCCACCTCTGGTGGTAACTTATAACCATAGTCTGTGCCACTTAAGTTTGTCTGCTGCCCTCAGGTATGGCATTAAGATGCTTTTTCATCACCAGTGTTGAAGCATGATTTGATTGCTAATCTCATCCATTTGTCCCACTGATTCGCCAACTATTTATCCAAGCAAACCAAGTGATGACATTGCAATACCGAGCAAGTTTTGTTTTTTAAGTTCAAGTAATTAACATCATGCTTCCTGTGTGCTCGAATGAATTTTTGTAATCATCATCAGTTTATTGAATCAGCCTTCAGACCTTAAAAAAAACAGCACCACATAGGTATCTTCTTGCCAATTTCTACATTCTTGCAATAATAATAATAATTTATTATTTCTACCCCTCCCATCTGGCTGGGTTTCCCCAGCCACTCTGGGCGGCTTTCAACAGAACATTAAAAACAGAATAAAACTTCAAGCAGCGGCCTCTTACTTGTACAAGCATTAACTGTAATGTATATACACAAAGTCCTGGAACTTTACAAGTGTAATACAACAAAAATCAGAAAACTCCTCTCCACCCCTCCTACAACTGGACTATCTTGTTCAGTGAGTTAAGGACAGGTTAAAGTGTCTTTGATGTATGGATGACTTTGGTCTGATTTCCCCCTCCCTGGCTCGTATTACTTCACTGGCTACAATCTTCTGTTTTTAATGGTGTGTGCTATTAAGGCTTATTATTATCATCATCTCATCCTTCAAAGGAGTTTTTAATATCTTGTTTAGGAATGTTCAAAGCTTTTCAGGTGAAAGTAGAAAGATACCCATGTGAGTCAAATCATGATGTTCTCTATTGCACATGTTAACGAAGTGAGTGAGTGAGTCAGAAGGACTGGTCCCAGCCCACTAAGATGTCCCAATTCAGAATCTAGCATGTAGGGCCAACCCAAGGGATCGTGCTGCCTGAGGAAAAGGACACAATGGAGCCAACTCGTTATTTCCTACTTCAACACTGGCAACAGGACAGCATCCTTGTCTGAGGGCCAGCTTAGGAGGTGCAAGGCAAGCTGTGTGTAGTAAATGAAGCTCTATACCTCCAACAACTTGCCATCACTTCCTGCCCCCTTCTGCATCTGTCACCTGAAATACCACCCTAATGGGTTTCCTAATGGGTAGGCCCACTCCTGCTTTTATGTATTCAGTTGGATGAGAAGAAGGTCCCATGGACAGGATTGGGATCTAGGATCTCAAAGCCTGCAACTCAAGAGGCAGAGCCTGCTGGTCAGGGTTTTAGAGCTGGAAGAGAACTTATGGGGTCATCTAGTCCTAATATCTGCTCAATGCAAGAATCTGCAATTACAGTTTTCCTAAGCGATAGCTGTACAGTCTCTGTTTAGATACCTCTGACAAAGGAAAGCCCTCCACCTCTAAAGGCAGTTTGGCTGTGTACACACCATACATTTAAGGCACATTCCACCCACCTAGGAATCCTGGGAATTGTAGTTTGTTAAGGTGCTGAGGATTGCAGCTCTGTTATTAGTAAACTACAATTCCCTGGACTCTTGGGATCATCTTCTTGATGACAACTCTTCAGACATTTGAGGGCTGCTATCATGGTCTCCCTTTAGTTCTCCATACTCAGCACTAGATTTAGGGCAGTGCTGGCAGTTCCCCCGCACGAAGCACCGAGCCTATGGGGAGCAAAATAACAACCTATATTTATATGGGTACTACTCAAAGTTAAGCCCCAGTCAGATGGGCAATTTAGTTGCCGCAACTATGACATAGTGCACTTGAAAGTGAAAGTTGCGCAAAATGGAAGTCGAGAGGCAGGAGGGTGTCGAATAAATATTTAGGGCAATAATTTTTGTCCTTGTCCAGGGCACCATATTACCAAAGTCTGTCCCAGTCCATACTGAACAAAGCCAGCTCTTTCAACCATTCCTCCTAGGCAGTAGTGCCTGGTGCCCATTGAGAATGGTGGTGTGGAAGACAGTGAGGCCAACAGCACATGGTGCCTGAGCCAATGGCAGGCAGATCCTCACACAAGACTGGTTGTAAGTAAGAAGACTAGCAGGTGGGGGCAGAATGAGGGTGGTGGGACGGTGTCCTGTTTGCCCTAGTGGAGCAACATCCAGTACTCATAGGACTTGTTCTTCTGACTAACCATCATCCTGGCCACCCTCTTCTGAGGTCACCCTAGGGTAGGTGATAAAGAGCCCTGCATTCCTCAAAGATAGGTGAGCAAGGCAAGGGGGGATCTGAAGGAGTGTCCAGGGGTGGGACATCCAACGGAGGGGGGACTGTGTGGAAGGACATGTAAGAGTCTATAATGTTTAGCCTGTATTAGAGGAGACTGAGAGGAGATAGGGTAGCCATCTTCAAATATCCCAAGGGCTGTCAAATGGAAGATGGAGCAAGCTTGTTTTACCCTGCTGCACAGGGTGGGACCTGAACCAATGACTTCAGGTTACAAGAAGGAAGATTTTACCATCTGGAAGAACTTTCTGACAGTAAGAGCTGTCACCCTCAGGAGGTTGTGGACTCTCCTTCATCAGGAGTTTTTAAGTAGAGATTGGATGGCCATCTGCCATGAATGCTTTAGTTGAAATGCTTGCATTGCAGGGGGTTGGACTAAGTGGCCCTCAGGGTCCCTTCCAACTCTACACTTTTATGATTTCTGCACCAGCTTTTCCTGCCAACAAGATGACACCAGAACAGAGGAACTGAGAGAGAGGGAGGGAGGGAGGATTTAGCCAAACTGCTGGTTTCCCTTATTGTTGAACTATCCACTGTATTGCTGACTGTGCCTCTAGGGAGAAATATAAGTTGGAAGTCGCGCACCCCCCCAAAACAAACAGCACCTCTGATTAGTATCTCATTTTGCTAGCCTTCCTGCTTCATTTGTTTCCCAGATGGGCAAAGTAAAAGGTCAATAACCCCAGGGCAGCCAATCTGATTGGAAAGAAATGTGATTTCTGGAAGGGAAATTTGCAAAATATAGCCATAACCAAGAAATGAGAAGCATCTGAAGAAAGTGACAGTGCAGGCTAATCTTCCATGTAATTTTTCTTATAGAATTTCTGACCTTTTTATAAAGAAAGAAGAAGAAGAAGAAGAAGAAGAAGAAGAAGAAGAAGAAGAAGAAGACCCTCTTCCACGAGCACAAAACTAAGCCTGTTCACTAGCATGGTTCTTTGAGTACCATAGGTTTTTTTTATTACGGTTGCCTTAATATTGAACAAGATGATAGACAGGAAACCACACAAAATAATAATAATATTGTGGCATTTTACAAACTAAAAGTTCAATCCTATGCATGTCTACTCAGAAGTAAGACTCTCTTAGTTGAATTGGTTATTCCAGGTAAGTGTATGTAGGATTGCAGCTTAACTCTTAGATCCTAAGGTAAATTAGCTTGAAGAAATTCATGAAAGAAATATTTTCCATATTATCCTTGCAGCCACCCACAACTCCCCCTCCCACCAAACAAAACAAAACAAAACAAAACAAAACAAAACAAAACCCTCTCTGGAGGATTGGGAGCTCCTCTGAAAAATGATGAATGGGGCATCAAGTGACTGACAGGTGGGCAGTCCCACCCACCTGTTAAATTTGTCACATGAGGGATTTGAGAAATCTGATTACCTACCCCTTCTCTACAGCCTTAATTTTCCCAGTCAAAAAATAATAATTATGCAAGACTTCGGGCTAATTGGGAGGTCAGGGTAGAGGCCAATTAAGCAACAACTGTGAAAACTAACATGGTATTGTAGCTTCCGTTTATTAGTGAATTGCAAGTGTCCCTGATTCAGGACCAGAAGTATAAATTCTACACGTTCCATGGAAGGGAGCTGTTCTGCTCCAAGTGATGATCCCAGCAAATGGTTATGTTCCAAATCTGGGGTGTGGGGTAATAGCAAGCTTATTGAGGTGATGCAAAGCAGGGTCATGCAGAGCGCAGCCAATTAGAGCAGATCCAAGTTAAAGCAAACAAAAGCAAAAGTTCAAACTGCATAACTCCTTGTGGACCTGTAGCAAGTTTCAGAAATAGCTTTACCAACTGGTAATCCCAGGCTGAGATTAATCTGGGCAGCAGCTCAGTCTGAATGGTTAGCTTCATCTCCCAAAGCCTCTTGTGCTAAAACAGGACTGGGGAAGCTGTTGCCCTCCAGGTGTTGTTGTACTGGCAATTGACCATGTAGGATGGAATTGATGGAGAGTTGTCGTCCTACATTATCTGGAAGGCCTCAACTTTGCCATCACATGTTAAAAGGGAAATCCTCTTGTTTCAAAGGGCCTTGCCTATTTCACCAGCTTTGGCTTTTTCAACCAGAGAAGCTACAGGTTCCACTGCAGCTTCCGCACTGAAGTTGGAGGGTGGCAGTGCAACCGCAGGCTGGCAGAGCTTCTGGAGCAGTGGAGACTTCCAAGATTGACTCTGAAAGCAATTCACTTTCACCCTTTGATGCTTTCCTCCAGGTCCCCAGCCTTGTCCCCCACAGAGAGGAAGTTGAATGTTGAAGTCAAAATAACAGGGATCCTGCAGGCTGCCCATAGCTGTCTGTGATGGAAGAAATAGAGACTGAGAGCATTCCCAAAGGATGACTATAAAACTTGAGACTTCAAGTGGCAGAGAGCTTGTCCACCCTTCTAAGCAATTGGTTTTGCTGTCAAACTGTTCTTGCTGTGAACTGTTCCTACCAGTATCCTGGTATGCTACAGTGATGATCTTAAACTGTGTCCAGAGTCTTAGTCCCCGTAGCGTCTCTCATTGTCCATCTTCCTTTCCTCCAGCAAAGCTGTACAAAGTGAGATTTAGTGAAAATGGCTCCCGAGAAATACAACTACAGGGGCCAGAGGCCAATTTGGATCCATTTTGGATTGGTCTAGTTCAAAATGGATTGAAACAGATGGGTGATATTTTTTTTTATTAAAAAAAACATGTTCCATGCCCATTTAGAATTTGTACATCTTGAATCTTGGGTTAATTCTAAAACAGATTCCTCATCCTAATTCCTTCCAGATGAGTCCACCTCCAATCAGCCTCAATCAGTATGACCAGTGGTCAAAGTGAAGGGCACTGTAGTTCAGCAACATCTGGATGGAACCAAGTTGTGGAAGGTGGTTCTAAAATGTCTCAAGGGAGAAGAAGAGAGCTACATTAGGAAAAGAATAGTGTAGCATTAAGAGTTTAAAATTAAAAACCTATAGATTCTGTAAACTATACATAAATCCTAATTTAATGTGATAAAAAATATGGTGTTAATAGACACTAGCATTATGTTTTCATTACGTGTTGTTCTCTGATGGTGACATTGCAGATACTAAGGTCTGAAATATGGAGATTTGGATATATATATATATATATACCTAGAAAGCTACCAAAGGTGGCCTAGATCCAGGCTTCTTTATTATTTTGTGGCTGTAGTGGGTGCCTTTTCTCAGATTTTCTGCTGATTATGCTGGAGCAATATTATGAGACAAAGAATTTATGCATAATGGGCATAAATCTTTCTATATGAGCCACCAGAGAGGCAAGAAAAATGGATTCTGTCAAGGATCTACATACAGATATGCATTAAACAACAGCCCTCCGTAGTTCAGAGGGCCCAGCTTTAAATGTAGATTTGGGGGGATAATGAAGAATGAAATTAGTGCTTTGTCAATGCGTTAAACCTTTCCGGGGCTCTCTGCTGGCATATTTTTATAGCTTAGGAGGATAAATGGTGGGGATCATAAATTTTTCCAACTTTTCAGCTGATCTTCCAAAGTAAAATGCAAGAAAGCTTCCACTGTGCAGCTTGGCACAACAGAAGTTGTTATTCATCAGGGATTCGGCACCACCACCGTAACTTCCAATTAGGGAAACATACATTAAAAGCTGCCGTACGCTGCTATAGGAGGCCAGGCAGTAGCTCGTGATTAATGGCTGTTCATTTACTACAATCACTCACATTTTTTTGTGCACAGGTCTTAACAGAGTCATTTGTGAATTGTCAACACCCAAATTTAGTCTACCTCCAGCCATCAATCAAAGGGGAGTGTGTATTTTCACTTGTGGCTGTGTGTTTGTTAATTACACTGTATGTCTTCTGTTTCTCTTGAAATGAGTACAATTCCCCCCCCCCCCCGAGATTGGAAAACTACCAAGCATTGTTGACAAAGCTGATTTAAGGAAACATTGGGGGGGGATCATAAAATGGGAAAAAAATTAAAATCATGCATTTTGTTCGGTACTGCAAAGATCATGCATTTTGTTCGCTACTGCAAAGAAAGGCTCTATGTTATTAAAGTCTGAGGTAACTCTTCCTTACCTGTATCTTTCACATTGTTGTGGATCATCTCAGAAATTGTTTTGTTGCTACAGCAACATTTTCCCAAACAAAATATACAAAGCATTTTTTATTTTTATTTTTTTTTAATCACTTCCCATCCCCACCCCCCTCTGTAGATAACCACCTATAACATGGTCATTATGATTGAATATAAAGTCTCAAACTGGGGACTTTAACTTTGATTATCATCATTGGTGTTAAGATTATTATAATTATTTTTCAGGAC